CTTGACAAATACAACCATTACAGTCTTAGCTGTAGTTTAGAGTGTGTTTTCTCTTCGGGGGTTAATGTACACCTACCTCCTCATTTCTAGCACCTACTGGAAATAAGAACAGTGAAAAGTGAATCCCAGTAACTTAAACAGATCCTGGCTTAGTAAGCCCCTGGAGAGAAAAAGTAGAAATAAAACTTTACAGAGTACTATAGGTAATTCTAGGTAAGATTCTTCCTCCTCATATGAGTGTATGTGTGATTTTTCAGAATCTCGGGTTTCTCTTAACCACATATTTAAAAAAGGCTAGTCATATATTTTCTTTTAAGTGTATATGATGCTTCTCAGTGAAATGAGAAAGGCAGTTTTCCATCTGGTTCCGTTATTTTAGATCCTTTAACTGCTCCTTTTCAAGAAGATAATAAAAACAATTGCTCTTATGTTAAATGCTTACTACATGCCAAGCACTGTGTGAATAAGCATAAACACTGTAGCTTTATTCCTCATAGTGCCCCCATGTGATAGATACTTAAGTTACATCCTGTGTGTTTAGTGGAGTAATCCTCTCACTAAAGAAGTCTATTGACTACATTAAGGTTATATAGGTTTAATATTAATGTGGAATGGAGTAAGTCTAATAGGCAAGCAGCAACACTTTCGATTTCTCCATTTGTTGCTTCACTACCTCCAGAGATCTGAATGGTTTGAATGCATAGACATCTATCAATGGACTTTCATTTTCTTCCTTCCTTTGATCTAAGCGAGTGGTTCTGAAATATTGATGTATGTAAGAATTGCTGTACAGAGTTGCACAAAACCATTTTTACTGAACCTTATACTTTAGGAGTAATTTAAGAGATGTTCAAGGTGATTTTAACGATATATGATTTTTGCCTAATACGTTGGTTTTATGCTGAATCATCTGCAGGGAAATGACACATGACCAAGAGAGAAAAGAAGACTTGAGAGAAGAGCACCAAGGAGACTTCTAGGTAGGGTGAAAGAGTGCCTATCAGTATACTGGACAATCTGAGGTCGAGGGAGGTGGGAAGGAAGCAAGGCCAGGAGGAATGAGTGCCAGATACTGTGGTGAAAGTGCTTTATCTGTGTTATCTCAATTATTATAGTAACCCTACGGACAAGGAAACTAAAGTTATGGGTGTTCAAATGACTTGCCTAGTGTCACAAAGATGGCAGATGGTTGAGTCAACATCCAAACCCAGGTCTTTCTCACTCTAAAATTCAAGGTCTTCCTACCATAGCTGGCTTCCTTATGGGTTAGGACTTCCTGAAGTCAGCCAGAAAGAACTCTGGGGAATGGAGATGTGTTGGCTTGGGATGACCTAAAGCTTGGGGCAAGATTCTTGTGAGGCCATGTAGGGAAATATTTTCATTCCTCATGGAGGACAGGCTGACCTGGTATGGATAGTTTAGAAAACTAAGCAGAATTTTACAAAAATAGCTGCATCCTTGCCTATTCATGATTTCTTTCCTTCTGGAAACATGGAAGGGACATCAAGACACTGGGCTTTCATGTACACAGCAAGTGTGTAACACATGGTGATTTATTTCAGGTGATCACTTCTCTGGTCCCCTGGGAATATAATATGAGCATCCCAGTAAAAGACATTAATTAGGCTGAAACTGTAATCGCTCTAGAAAAAATCATGCCCCCAACTTTGAGGACCTGCTAGCAGCTTTAGAAGAAATAGCCACGGGCTACAATGACAACAGTGAAGATGTGTAGCTAACCCTGTGGTGCTCGTTGGCAGGGGAGAAGGCAGAACACTGGAGACATGTAAGAACCACTAAGGAAGTCAGGGAGTGCCTCAGACACTCATAAAGAAGAAAGGGCTCCACTGACTTTGAAGGCTCATGAACACTACTAGTTAAGGGTGTAAAGTGAATTTCACTATAATAGAACAAAGGCTGTCCATGTAGTAAAACTGGATATTAGAATAAATAAGAACTAGTTTACATTCACAACTAACACCATATACTGTTATAATTATACATAGCCAATGGTTTTACTCAAAGAAAATAAATGTGATGTGATAGGAAACTTATATAAATATGTAAGATCATTTTCTAGGATCCACTAGTGAATTATCAAATAGGAAATGAAGAAACAGTTTACAGAGGAGGAAAAAGGAATTAATGCATAGAAAAGTCTATAGCCTCATAAAACTAAACACACACACGAGCACTAGTATTTCTGTATTATTTCTTATAACTCCATGTGAATCTACAATTATATGAATAAATTTTTCTATTTAGAAAAGTCTACAGCCCGGGGCACCTGGGTGGCTCAGTCATTAAGCATCTGCCTTCGGCTGAGGTCATGATCCCAGGGTCCCGGGATCTAGCCTGGGTCTGGCTCCCTGCTCAGCGGGAAGTCGGCTTCTCCTCTCCCACTCCCCCTGCTTGTGTTCCCTCTCTTGATGTCTTTCTCTGTCAAATAAATAAATAAAATCTTAAAAAAAAAAAGTCTACAGCCTCAATAGTAATTAAATGAATGCAAATCAAAACAAAATTAAGTTCTGGTTACATAACATGGATGCCAGAGCAAATGAAAAATGTTGGTAGGGGCTCCTGGCTGGCTCTTGATCTTGGGGTTGTGAGTTCAAGCCCCATGCTGGGTGTAGAGATTACTTAAAAATAAAATATTTTTTTAAATGTTGCAAAAAAGATGGGAAACATGTTATACTCTTACATTGTTAATAACATTGCAAGTCAGTTCAATCAGTTCTGAAACAATCAGAGTTTCGAATTTTCTTCAGTTAGAATATTATATAGGTCATTGTGCAGTTCTTTTTCCTTGGATTTTTTAATTTTGAAAATCCTGCATGCTTCTTTTAATATGGGAAAGAAAGGGAAGATAAGGGAATAATGAGAACTATCCGTACTTAACACTCATTTTTCTGTAAATTTAAAACTGATCAAAATAAGTCTGTTAATTTAAAAAGAAAGAGGAATGCCTGGGTGGTTCAGTCGGTTGAGCGTCTGCCTCAGCTCAGGTCATGATCCCAGAGTTCTGGGATGGAGTCCTGCATGGGGCTCCTTGCTCAGCAGGAACCTGCTTTTCCCTCTGCTTGCCACTCCCCCTGCTTGTGCGCTCTCTCTCTCTTTGACAAATAAATAAATAAAATCTTAAAAAAAAATAAAAATAAAAGAAAGAAAAAAGGAAGAAGCTGTGAGTACACGAAAAGTCATTGAACTGTATGGTTTAAATTGGGGAACTTTATGGTATATTAATTACATCCCAATAAAGCTGCTTTCTTTAAAAAGTAAAAGAACATGAAATGTGTATTTTGTAGTTCCCAAAGCAACCACAAAATAAAACACAAAAAGATATAGTGAAAATTATAACAAGTAAATTAAAATGCAATACTAAAACAGGTTCAAATAACCCAGAAGAGGAAACAGAGAAATGAAAAATAGAGAGGAAAAGCAGAAAACTAATAATAAAATGATAGATGTAAATCCAAATATATCAACATTTAGTGTAAATGACTTAAATACAAAACAGAAGAGAGATTATCAGAGTAGTTGAGCAAATGGCTGGCAGCTCTACTGTAGAGTGGGAATTCCAAGGTTTGGGTTCCTCATCTGTGACACAAACCCATCCTAGGTGCAACATGCATCTGGGTCACCCCATATCATTCCCACGGGACTTGGGGGCAAGCAAACGATGTGAACATAAAGCTCATGCTGCCTATGACCCATGAGCCTTGTGTTTTGCCAACATGAATGAAACTATGGCAGGTGGATCTGTTAGCTTGTTAAAGGAGTGGCATTTCAGACCCTCCACAGTTTATTACTGTGAGGTTTATGGCAGGAATGCAAGGCTGGTTCAATGTTCAGAAATCAATCCATCTTTTTTTTTTTTTTTAAATGCTCAGTGAATGAAGTTCTTTTTTTTTTAAGAGTTTATTTATTTATTTGAGAGAGAGAGAGAGAGAATGAGAGATAGAGAGCACGAGAGGGAAGAGAGTCAGAGGGAGAAGCAGACTCCCCGCTGAGCAGAGAGCCCAATGTGGGACTCGATCCCGGGACTCCAGGATCATGACCTGAGACGAAGGCAGTCGCTTAACCAACTGAGCCACCCAGGCACGCAGAAATCAATCCATCTAATCAACCATATCAATTGCTTAAGGGAGAAAAACTACACAATAATAGAAATCCATGCAGAAAAAGCAGTGGACAAAACAAAGCACCCACTCATAATACACACTCTCAGCAAACTAGGACGATACATCGTCCTCAACCTGAGATGATGTATCTACAAAAACCTACAGTCAAATTTATCAGCTCGGCCTGTGTCCAAGTAGACCAGAAGTGACCTCACTGAAGAAGGGCAGGATTTGGTGGATGAATTCCAGCCTCCTGGCCCCTGGCCCGTGGCGGGAGGATTCTGAGCGGGTCTGCACACTCTCAGAGTGCCCGGGACCACAGACTCCCCATTGCCCACGGCGGGGACCTGCTCCTTGACCCCCTTGGCCGGCTCACCTCCCTCGCTCCGTTCCCGGGATGACCTCACAGATGATCCTACCCCTCGCCTGGGGTCCGCTTCGGGGAGGAACCAATCCCCGCACCCCCTTTCCGTCCAGGGCTCAGTGAAGAGTGAGTCTCCTCCCTACTTGCAGCTCACTCCACGTCCACCTCTCCGTCTCCCTCGCTCCAGTGCCTTCCAGCGCGTCTGGGTCTCGCTCTTCCTCGTTTGGAGACTCCGGCAGAGCCAGACGACCCGCAACCGGCCGCGCTGCGGCCAGCGGGTCAGCCCTGCAAAGGCGTCGGCCGCGGCCGTCGCTAGCTCCTCCGGGCCGCAGGGGGCGCTGTGGGGCGGGGGCAGGCTCGAGTCCCAGCGTACACCGCGTGGGGGCTGGGCCGGTGGGGTGGGAGGGGCGGGAGGCCGTGAGCCGAGGGAGGTGCCGCGGGGTCGTCCGGGCGCTCCGCGGCTCTGGGGCAGTTGCCCGGCCCGCCGTAGGGGCCGGGCGGGAGCGCGAAGGGCCATGGCGGAGCCGGCTCCGGTAAGAGGGACCGTGGAGGTTGCGGGCTGTGTAGAAATTCGTCCCTGTCGTGGTCTGGAGTGGGGTCCCGAGTCGGGGAGTGAGGCGGCGGGGGACTGTCGGTGACCCATGACTGAGCTCCGAGCCCCTGGCCGGTGAAGGCGCCGTGTAGGTGCTCGAGTTGTTCTGCAGTTGAGCCGGAAGAAAGGGGCCAAGTGGAGAAATCCAGGGTCTTTACCGGTCGTCCCCTCAGGTCACCCGCTTTTTCCCGCCCTGTGTCGGGGCTCTTTGAACGTCGTGGTTTCTCTTGGGCTCTCGTTCTGTGCCCTGCTGGCGAATGTGGCCTCAGCGAACGTCATCTGTATAAACGGATGAAAAAAGCCACGGGAAGGGAGAGTGGGCATGAGAGGGCCCGGAGACTGCTGCCTCTAGGAAATGAGAGAAAGTGTGAATCCAGCTGGGGTTGTTAATGGAAAATGTGAACACCGGTTTTAGACTTTAAAACGCATATCCTGAACTTAATCCAGGAAACTGTTAAATTCGATTAAGTATAATCTCCTTACCTATGCAAGTTTTTCTTCTACCCTTTCTGAAATTTCATATCTAATAATCTCACTAAAGTAATGCATTTTCCCTTCTGCTTCTCACCCCCTCCCGACACAGGTACAGGATACAGGGAACCTTTCTGGACTGTACTATCTTTGCAACTTCCTATGAGTCTGTAATTATTTCAAAATAAAAAGATTTTTTAAAAGTCTTGCATAGCAATAACTGCTGCTAAGTAAAGGATCCCTCTCTAGATGGTACATGTGCTCAAAGGTCTGCTAGTCATTCATTCACTGTGTGGGTCCGGTAGACTTCTGTGACCCCTTTATTACGTTGTTCACGGCACCATCCAGAGAGAAGGAGACTTTAGTATAGTTTCTTCTTGTCTCTTAAAGACATGGACGTTGGAAGACAGTACCTTGAAAGTGAAAATGTACGTATGTACTGTTTGTGATTCTAGGTAAGGATGACGTTTGATGATGTGGCCTTATATTTTTCGGAGCAAGAGTGGGAGATCCTGGAGAAGTGGCAGAAGGAAATGTATCAGCAAGTGATGAAGACCAATTATGAGACTCTTGATTCCCTGGGTAAGCTGGGCTTCAAAGGAATCATTTTGGGGGAACCTACCTAATACCAATAGGATTTCTGCTCTGTATTAGCTATTAGCTGGTTGAATATAATTCTGTGCTTAATGTACACTCAGAATATGTCCTTAACTTCCTATTACAGCCTGGGAATATTTAACTTGTCCCTTTTTATCTAGTGGTATCTGCACCCCTCAGTCTTATCAATTCTACAGCCTCTTTCACACAAACCCTCCCTTGTTTCTCCCACAGTTAAAATTATTAAATAATCAATTTGTCTCTCTTTTTTTTAAGTGTACCCTTTTATTTTATTTTATTTTTTTTTTTTAAAGATTTTATTTATTTATTTGAGAGAGAGAATGAGAGACAGAGAGCATGAGAGGGAGGAGGGTGAGAAGGAGAAGCAGACTCTCTGCTGAGCAGGGACCCCGATGTGGGACTCGATCCCGGGACTCCAGGATCATGACCCGAGCCGAAGGCAGTCGCCCAACCAACTGAGCCACCCAGGCGCCCCCCTTTTATTTTTTTAACTGATACTTTGATGCCTGCTTATATTGCCTAAATAGGATGAATTTTCTATCCTCATAAGATCTGGGAAAATAGTTCCCTGGTAGAGGGAGAAAGAGCAGTGGGGATAGGACATTTAGGTATCCCTAGAGAAATACTTAGGGAGGAGATTTGAAGAGAAATTTGTAGAGATTATACCTTGCTGTTTATCCAACTTGCCTGAATTCATTCTTGTATCATTAAAACCATTTCTTCTGTTTTCACTTCAATAGCTGATCTTAGTATAACTTGTGGCATTCTCTCCTTCCTTTGGGGTTTATAACCTCTTCCATCGGAGATACAAAGGACAAGATGAGTCTATTGTGTGAAATCAGGGGGAAGAGAATTCTAAGCAGAGGAAGGACTAGTGCAGAAGTTCAGGGGTTGGAATATATGTGCTCAGTGCATGCTGGGAGCCATGGGGAGGCTGCTGGAGCACATGTGTAGAAGGCTAGGAGAAGGGGACAGTGGTATACCAAATGAGAAAAGGGCCTCTAGGATTTTATTCTAGACGAAGGGAAGATAAGATGATGAGAGGATTTACATAGGAGTAATACGTCAAAATTTGTTTTAACAATTAATTACTTGAATTGTTATGTGGAGAAGGAATGGCAGTGCACAGCAATGAAAAGAAGGACACCAGCCAAGAATCTCAGCAGCGGGGCGCCTGGGTGGCTGAGTCGTTGGGCGTCTGCCTTCGGCTCGGGTCATGATCCCAGGGTCCTGGGGTGGGCTTTCTGCTCAGCGGGAAGCCTGCTTCTCCCTCTCCCACTCCCCCTGCTTGTGTTCCCTCTCTCTCTGTGTCTCTCTCTGTCAAATAAATAAATAAAATCTTAAAAAAAGAAAAAAAAAAGAATCTCAGCAGGGCAGGTGAGGCTTTATGGCAGCTGAACCAGTTAGCTAGTAATGCAAAGAGAAGTAGATGGGCTCTGGATATCTTTTGGAGGTAGCATTCGAGAGTCTGCTCGTGGATTGGATATGGAGCGTCAGGGTGAAAGAACAATCAACTAGATTTTTGGCTCAAGTATGTTGAAGGCAATGGCTTTATTCACTGACAGGACGAAGCTTGGGGAGAGAACCTTAAGTTTGAGATGCTTATTAGATATTTATATGGAAATATATATAATGGGGTATGCGAGACCAGAATTTCAAGTGAAGATCAGGACTGGATTCACAAATCTGGTGTTTTAAACCTGAGGGCTACGTGGGATCATCTAGGGAGAAATGTAGATAGGACAGAGCACTGGGACACCTCAACTTTTGGAGTTCAGGCTAAGCAGTCTGAGGCCAGTAAGGTACAAGAAACTAGAGCCATGTGCTAATCCAGTGTTGAGTTTGGAGTTATCATAACTAGTGTCCGTGGGCTTGGAAAATCCAGTCTGATTTTCCCACATTTTAAAACCCAAAGGGCATTATTTACAAATTCTTTTCTTTTTTTTAAGATTTTATTTATTTATTTGAGGGGGGGGCAGAGAGAGCACAAGCAGAGGGTAGGGGCAGAGGGAGAGGGAGAAGCAGACTCCCCACTGAGTGGGGAGCCCAATGCGGGACTCAATCCTGGACCCTGGGATCGTGACCTGAGCTGAAGGCAGACGTTTAACAGACTGAGCCACCCAGGCGCGCTACAAATGATTTTCTTTACAGGACGTCCAGATATCAGCCCCAGAGATTAGGATTCAGCAAGTCCAGCCTCAGGCCCAGGAATCTACATTTTTAACAAGCACTTCAGGTGCTGCTAAATGCTGGTGGTACCCAGTTGGCTTTGAGAAACACTGACCCGAGGGATGACCACTAGGTGACGCTACTACATAGTATCCGTTGCATCTTCTAAAATCACTCCGTTGCTTTATAACTACCCTTCTTCCCTTCATGCTTATGTCATTAGACACATTACTCTCTCCCCCTTCATAAGTGCTGTCATTGAACAACTTCCTGGTTCCTTCACTGCACCTCAGTAGTTAATTTCCTTGGATGTCTAGTCAGAGGTGTTTAGTGATTGGGCTCCCTCCTTGACCCCCTGTGATTTTGCTTTTTATTGTTCTCATAATGATCATTTGTTAATGCTTTCTGCCTGGATCTGTTGTTAAAAATCATCGCCCTTAATTTCTGTTTCCTTTAATTTTGTGAAATACTGCAGAGGACATTTAAGCTAAACAGTTTTGGTTAGGTTATATTTTATTGTCATTCATGTAATTTCAAGGGTTTCAATTTTTTTGACCTAACTTTGATGATGTATCTTCAGGAATCAAAGTTAACTGTGAAAATCACGTTTAGTGAAGTACTCAGGTAAACCCAGACTGAGTCTATGTGGTCTCTCTTTGCAGGTGGCGTTTTTTCCAAGCCAGATTTGATCTCCTGGATAGAACAAGGGAAAATGCTGTTAATCAGAGACCAGGGACCCTTGGAGAAAAACATAACACTTAGCCCTTCTACTGATGAGCAGTGGGACTTGCAGAAGACCGGAAAGTTGCCGTATTTTGGTGAGTATGATGGATTTAGGGTCAGGACTCATTTCGTTTTCCTGAATCTTTCTGGATAGGCAGCTGGACATAGTGAATAAGAAACAATTGTTTTGATGGAGAATGTTAGGTTTTTTTATTCAAGTGGAAAACAAATATAAGAATGTATTACTTTAAAGAGGGAAGTTGTGTATGTTTTATTAAAAAAAAAAAATTATGACCCTGGAAAGAAGTACCTGTAAAAGAGCAAGTAAAGGACCCTCTTGTCAAGTCCTGAGGAACAACCACCTTCTCCATCACACCATTGTGTCCATTTGAGTATAGAGCAGTGGAAAACTATCCAATTATTATTTTTTATTTTACAGATTTTTAGAACTTGGGCTTTTTTTTAAGTTCCTTTTAAAGGATTCCTTTTTGAATTCCTTTTATCATAAGAAAAACATTGGAAACACTTTATAACACTTTAAATACTTAAAGGAATAGGTAATTTTTTAGACTATGCTAATGTTTTATTAAATGGAGATCTTCTAAGTCCCTGGAAGTCAAAGGATTCTCCTGAAGAGGAGGGGATTTGAACCCAGGGATGTATGGTCAGGTCCATCAAAAGAATAAAAGAATTGCCAAGGACTTTATTTCATTGCCACCGTCTCTTATTTCATTCATCTAATGAGTATTGAGTCCCTACCATGTTCATAGGACTGTCAGTTATTACTTAGGCTGGGGGTAGGATGGAGAGGTCTATATATCTATATGTATGTCCTCCTATAGGAGTTTATTGTCTTACCTGACATGGCAGTTAAGTTAGTCGATTATACCGAACTGTTGGACTAGTCATCTATAAAATGGGACTGTATACAGTTTAATAAAATAGGTGGCAGTGGTAGCAGTGCTACAGGGATTTAGAGGAGAATGAGTGGAGTAGAGATAGCAGTTTCCCAGGAGGACTTCTAAGGAATTAGGGTTTAAATAGCAAAGAATGGGCAGATTTGGTTAGACAGAGACGATCAGCAGGGGTCACACATGAGCTGAGGCTCAGAGGTGGGAACAAGCCCATTGTATTTAGAAAATGTATAGCTGAATGTTATTCTTGGGATGGGATGGGAGATGGAGAAGGGGAAACATAAATTAATGCCAGTTTATCTGAGGCTAGGAATGCCAAGGTGGAAGTTTGACTTCATCCTATAGAAAGGGAGAACCTAGAAAGGTTTCTGAGTAACAAAGAATGGACAACTTTAGTTGTCCCTAGAAAGTAATGTTCCCTTCTTGCCAGGTGGCACTCACCCAGTAGTCACAACTGCTTCTCTGCCTGGCATAAATAGTAAGTGATAAGAAATAGGATTCAAGGAGACAGGTAAGTATGATCTAGACATTAGCTGTGGAGCGCTAACTTACTAAATGACATCACCCAGATGGAAACATAACCTATGTTGTTGTTAAGATGACCACAGAGCATAATCAGAGTCCTTCTCTGGGGACAGGCCCACCCTTCCTGACAGGTGAATTTTCCTCCTGTGTTAAGAGACTTAAAAAAGGAGAACCCGAGGACCCAGTTCAACAGGTGGGAGAAAAAGCAGTTCTGAAATATAGGGGCTCCAGTGAGCATCTGAAATTGTTCTTTCCAGTTTTTGTGGGTGAGAATAAGGTGCTAACTCAGCTCCCCGTTTCCTGTCCTCATGGCTTTTACTTTGGGAACAGCACTGACTGTGCTTATATTAATACGTTTCTTATAATGTAGAGTTCTTGGAAAAGGGAATTATCTCCATAGCGTTCTTTGTGAATTTAGTCAATTGCCATTTGACATTCCTAAGAAAGATACCTATTAGCATTTCTTCCAGAAAGCTTTTCCTGAAATTTGGGGGTAAGAATATGACCCAAAGCCTTATTTAACAGATTTAAGGAAATAGAATGGTCATAATCTCAGACTAACTCATCTTTATTTTCTTTCAACTTCTGCTTACCCTCTGAGGGTCATCCATAAGTTCACAAGATATATTTGCCTGCAATTTTTTTCCCCATACTAAGCCATTTCTTAACACATACCGGAAGGATTTACATATCAAAGTTAAACTTAAATATAATTTACCCGTGGCAGGCAGATGCACAGAGTCATCAAAATCATTGAGATTCCTTAGAAATGTGAACACAGTTCTTGACCCCACCATAGCACAGACACATTACTGGTAAGGGTGGGTCTTCTTTTTTTCTCTCCAGGTGACCAAGGAACTCTCAGGGCAAAAGAGGAGGAAGGCCATTTAAATGGTCTCCTAAAGCAGGGTTCATGTGCTACCTTACCAGGGGAGGAAAGAAAGATCTTATCAGATCAAAGAGCAACCTTACAGCATCCAAGTCTCCAAGAAATAGGGATTGTACATAAAAACCTTGACCTCAGAGCATCTAATCAGGATAACAGCAATCCATGGCATAAGCTGATAGGTACTCCAGGTCACTTGGAAATTCCACCAGGACCAAGATTTTATTCCTGCTTTGTCTGTGGGAAGGTCTTTCAGCTAAAAAGGGACTTGGTAAAGCACAAAAGAAACCACGCTAAGACTCAGCCCTGTAAATATTCAAAGCACAAAAACAAATCCAGAGGGAACCCTGAACTCAGGTGGAACCGGATGATCCTGTGTAAGAAGAAGCGTTTCCAGTGTGGCAAGTGTGAGAAGAGCTACTATCTCAAATGCAGCCTGATCACTCACCACCAGGTTGTTCACATGGGGCAGCGGCCCTTTCCCTGCCCTGAATGTGACAAGACCTTCCAGTGTAAAGCCACATTGAAGAAGCATCTGTGTTTGCACAAAAGGGAGAAACCATTTTCTTGTGAGCAGTGTGGCAAGGGTTTCACCCAGCAATGCAAGCTCACTGAGCACCTCAGGGTGCACACTGGGGAGAAGCCTTTCCAATGTCCAGAGTGCAACAGAGGCTTCCGCCAGCAGAGAAGTTTGAAGGCCCATCTTTGCCAACACAATGAGAAGAAGCCCTTCCATTGTCCAGAATGTGGCAGAAGCTTCTCCCGGAAGGCTGCCGTGAAGGCCCACCAGAGGATACACAGTGGAGAGAAGCCGTTTTCTTGTGACGAGTGTGGTAGGAAATTCACACACAAGACGAAACTCACTGAACATATCAGAGTTCATACGGGAGAGAAGCCCTTCCAGTGTCCCGAATGTAAGAAAAGTTTCCGCCTAAAGAGGAGCCTAAAAGCCCATCTGTTTCAGCACAGTGGGAAGAAACCCTTCCAGTGTCCAGAGTGTGACAGGAGCTTCTCTTGGAAGAATGCCATGAAGGCCCACCAGCGTTTACATAGTGAGGAGAAGCCATTCTCCTGTGGGGAGTGTGGCAAGAGGTTCACCCGGCCCTCTAAGCTCACTCGCCATAGCAGAGTCCACAACAGGCAAAAGGAATTCTCCTGTGATGAGTGCAAAAAGACCTTTCCTCGGCAATCGAGGCTCACGGAGCACCGCAAGGTCCACACCAAAGAAAAGCCATTCTCCTGTTCCGAGTGCAGCCGGAGCTTCAGCCGACACTCGCACCTCACTGAGCACATGAGACTTCACAGTGGGGAGGAGCCTTTCCAGTGTCCTGAGTGTGACAAGAGCTTCTTCTGGAAGGCCTCCATGAAATTCCACCAGCGGATACACAGGGGGGAGAAGCCCTTTGCATGTGGCGAGTGTGGTAAGACCTATACTCAGCAGTCTCAGCTCACTGAACATAAGAGAATCCACAGTGGAGAGAAACCCTTCCAGTGTCCTGAGTGCAATAAAAGTTTCCGTCTCAAAGGAAATTTGAAAAGCCACCTGCTCCAGCACAGTGACAAAAAACCATTCTCCTGTGTTAAATGTGGCAAAAGTTTCACTCAGCAGTACAGGCTCACTGAACATATTCGAGTCCATAGTGGTGAGAAGCCCTTCCAGTGTCCCGAGTGTGACAAGAGCTACTGCATAAGGGGAAGTTTGAAGGTCCACTTGCATACACATAGTGGAGAGAAGCCTTTCAGGTGCTCTGAATGTGGCAAGGGGTTCCTCCAGAAGAGAAGTTTGAAGACCCATCTGCACCATCACAGAGGGGAGAGGCCTTTTTCTTGTGATGAGTGTGGAAGGAGCTTTACGTACATGGGGGCACTCAACACCCATGTTGCGGTACATGCCAGGGAACAGCCCTTCAGTGTCTAGGTCAAGCCGTGCAGAAAGGAAGCGGGGACAGCTTTTAGGCGGAGCTAGCAGCTCTTGGATCCATGGCCTAAGCTGGATAAGGAATTCACAAAACGCTGACCTCAGATACACTGGCCAGCTGCATAGCAGGCAGGGTGGCGTGACGGCTCCTTCACGAAGATTCCAAATAATCCAGATGTAAAAAAAGAGGCATCTCCCCTCTGTAATCCCCATGGGCAAGGTTTGCCAGTCATGGAAGGAACATTTTCTCTCTGCTTCCTATTACCAGGCCTCCTTATTTAAATTTGTGTTGAGATTTTCAGTTTTCTCATAGTGAATTTTCATTTTCTCTCACGTGGTGAGAGAGCATCTGTGTCTCGGGAGGATTTCTCTCTATTGCCAAAAATAAATGTCATCTACCATCTCCTTTGTTAACGATGGCGCACATAAGTGTCCTTTCCCTCTGGATTAATTTAAATCATCTAAAAGCCCACCGTTGTGAGTAACAAGCAATGACTTGTATCTAACCCCTCTGCATTTCAATAGTGTATGTCAATTCTCCAAGAAACATACTTGCCTTAATATTGGGGTCTCTTAGGTAAATACCAAAGGAAAAAATATTGCCAGTCCAAGACATCACTCCATCTTTTGTTCTGTGGCTTAATCTATCATTATAAGGTGATTTTCCAGCCTGTTCTAGCAAACCTTCATCTCTCTCTTGGACTGTCAATCTTTTAACATCATTCCTACAAAAATGTATAGATTTGCTTCCTTAGGGAATCCTTTGGGCCTATGTAAATTTTCCATTTTTGTAGTACATGGTGGTCGAGGATTACCTGAATCAGCTGGATCCAAGGGCACCCTACAAATCAGTGTTTATACAAAAAGGATAAGTGCCACTTCTGGTTGGTATGTGCCAGTAGGTGCAAGCCTCTCGGTGAGTCAATGTGCCTTTGTGCAAAGAAAAAGACACTTTCCCTAACCTGTGCCAGGGCACGTGTGGGCTGGATGTCAGCCTTGGCTGGCCTCTTCACCAGTGTACCTGAGGACAACTCTGTGCCTGCTTGGGATACATGTTGAAAATGCAGGCCCTGGGGACCCTCCCCAGATGTACTGAGTGATATGGTCTTCTCAAGTGAACTTGTTTGAAAAGTTTCAGAACCTTTGATCTAGTGAGTGGAGAAACTGGAGGCAGGAAAGCTCTGTTTGAAAGCATTCTAGTCAGTCATCCTGTGCAGTTGAGGTTAGGCCTTTTCCTTTAAGCCTTTTCTCTCCTGCATTTTGTAATAAAGCTTCTTGTGATAAAATTTCATATGTTATGGGTGTATTAGCTCAGGCTGCTATAACAAAATGCTACAGACTAGGGGGCTTAAACCACAGAAACTTATTTTCTTACAGTTCTGAAGGCTAAAAGTCCAAGATCAAGGTACCAGCAGGGTTGGTATCTGATGAAAACTGGCTTCCTAGTCCTCATATGACTTTTTCTCTGGGTACAGGGTGGGGGTGGGGGATCTCCGGTGTTTCTTCCTCTTACTAGAAGGACACCAATCCTATTGGATTAGGGCCCCAACCCTATGACCTCATTTAGCCTTAACTAATTAATATTGGAGAACCTGGTGATGTGTAGTAGACCTGAGCAAAGCGAATGAGGAAGCACAGAGATTAGGAGTGCTGTGCTTTCCTAAATGGAAAAAAAATACCAAGAATGGGGAAGAAGCAACCCCCGCCCCCCAAAAACTAACAGCTAGCTGCTCATCTCTCCCCTGAGCCACAGCTTGTGTGGTAATGTCATGTGTTATCTCTTAGGTGCTGATGACTTTCAGATCTACAAGTCCATATCCATAGTTGAGCTTCCTCCTGAGTATTTCTGACTTCCACAGGCATCTCAAACACAGAACGCCCAGAATAAGACTCAGCCATATCATCCCTCCCTCTGCACCTCTTCCTTACACTCTCTTGTATTCCCCCCTCTAAAGTTATACTAACTAATCTCCAAAGCTGTAAATCTGATAATGATCCTGGGTTTTCCTACACCCAACCTGTCTCCTAAATTCCTCCCAAATGCCCTTCTTTATCTCTACCATCACCGCTAACTTAAGCCAACTTTTAAAAAATTTTAGTGTTTTTTAAAATCTTTTTTTTTTTTTTTACAATTTTATTTATTTGAGAGAGAGAGAATGAGAGATAGCACAAGAGGGAAGAGGGTCAGAAGGAGAAGCAGACTCCCTGCTGAGCAGGGAGCCCGATGTGGGACTCGATCCTGGGACTCCAGGATCATGACCTGAGCCGAAGGCAGTCACTTAACCAACTGAGCCACCCAGGCGCCCAAAAAATTTTAGTGTTTTTTATTAACAGTTTTTTCCTGTAGTGCATTCATCACCCTTGTAACAGATAGGTCTTCCTAAAATGCAACTCTGTTATTCTCAAAAAATATTTTTAGAAGTTTCTGATTTTATTATAAATGCAAACTCTAACATGACATTAGGAAAAAACCTCCAAGCTGACCCAGACCTGCCTTTTCAGCTTAAGCTTGTTACCTATTCACCATATGAACTTCACTCTTACCAAATGACTCTTATCTTTCCCAGTGCATCATATTCTCATGACTGCTCCCTCATCTTCCTAACTCCTTGTTCTACCATTCAGTCTCAACACCGGGAACATTTGAGGTATGTGCACGTCAGCACATCCTCTAAATACCTTTCTCTAATAGCACTCTTTGCATTCAGCTGTAACCTGCCTACTTCCCTCATAGACTGAACCCCTGCCAGGGCAGGGATTTGATCTTGCTTTTGCATTTTCTCCATCCAGATCAAGCTGTTCTGTGGCTTAATACTTAGATTGTGATATACCCACTAACACAGGGCGGGGTGGGGGTGAAGGAGCCCTGAACTACATAGGACTTGATTATGGACTTGAGGGTTCTAGGGAATCAGGTAGACACAGCTGCAAAACAGCTAGACAGGAATAGTTGGATGTGCACATGTTCTCACATATACACAGAACCTTTACCCACCCCCTTCTAAATGATCCTGTAGACTGTAATTCCAAAACCCATCAAGAGATCTAAGTTTAAGTGAGCCAACAAAACAAAATCAGAAGATGAATTCACTCCATGTAAATTTAAAATAAGGGAGACATCTGGAAGATATCTTAAAATCAGTACATTTCATTCACCAAGATATAAATGAATTCTAACATTTAAAAATAGTAGGAAATAAAAAAAGAGGTGATATACAAACAAGTGGATATGAAAAAGAGCCTTGGAAATGAGAACATAAAGTTACTGACTGAACTAAGATCCTGAATAGAATAAGCTTTAGGAACCTACCCAGAATGAAGTAGAGAGATAAATAGGAAAAATAAAAGTACGAAAGCAGTGAGGAGACATAGAGAATTGATTGAGAGCTTCCAATATATAACAGTTCCAGAAGGAAAAAAATAATAAAGGGAGTGTCTGAGTAGCGATACCTGAAAATGGCTGAGAGGTTTCCAAAGTTCTCAGTTGAAAAGTGCACTTCCATTACATAGGAGGATGGTAAAAATTAGTCCACGTCTAGCAATGATGGTGAAACTAGCTTCAGGAATAAGGAGAAAAATTGGGGCACCTGGGTGGCTCAGTCAGTTAAGCATCTACCTTCGGCTTAAGTCATGATCTCAAGATCCTGGGATCGAGCCCCATGTCAGGCTCCCTGCTCATCGGGGAGTCTGCTCCTTCCCCCTGCTCATGCTCTCTCTCTCTCAAATAAATAAATCTTTAAAAAAAATAAGGAGAAAAACATGAAGGGCATGGAGAATCTGGGGGGATTATAGGTATGTTTATTATCTTGATTTTGAGGATGGTTTTGTGAACTATACATGTCAAAACTTAACAAATTATAAGTTTTAAATATATACAGTTTATGGTATGTCAATTGTACCTCAATGAAGCTGTTAAAATAAATCAAGATCAATCACTAATTTCTTAATATATAGTTTCTAAAACAGCTGAAGAAAAAAGGAATAAAGAAAAGTTCCACCTGAAGGCAGGAAAAGAAAATTTCCAGGGTGATTAAAATAACGAGTTAATTACACAGAAGACTGTCAGATATTTTAAAACTTCATACTTACTATATAAAGTTTACAAGAGAGATGACTACAAACAGTAAAGAATGAAAATAAAATGATGGAAAAAGATTTACTGAATGAAGTCTAGTGAAACTACATGAGAACGAGTTAGAATTCATGGCAAAGTCCATAAAAATCCACTAAGATTTAAGAATCATGAACTTGTTTAAAAAGAAAAGAAAAAAAAAGAATCATGAACCTAATAATGTGGATTTGTAATATGAAAAGCAAAAGTTATGGGGCACCTGGGTGGCTTAGTCGGTTAGGTGTCTGCCTTCGGCTCAGGTCATGATCCCAGGATCCTGGGATCGAGCCCCACCTCTGCTCAGAGGTGAATCAGCTTCTCCCTCTCCCTCTGTGAGCTCTTTCACTTTCGCTCACTCTCAAATAAATAAATAAAATATTTAAAAAAAAGCAAAAGTTAACAAAACAACCAAAATAAACATACCATAATTTGTTTGATAGGATACCTTTCATAAATGTGTGCATCAAGCAGACAACAAACTTAATAAGCATTAATAATCTGATGTGAACAGCAAAAATTTTACTAGTTTTGCCCAGTAGAAAGCCTTGTATAGGAAATAACATTGGTTTTAAACACATACAGAGGACTTACAAAAATTAACAATGTAATAGGTACAATGAAGTCTCAACATATTTTTAAAAGTCCATTTCATCGTGATCAAATTTCTCCTACCATGAACTGTTACCTTAGGAATAAGAAAGAAAACTTTAAACTAAAAACAAAATTTCCTAGGCTTAGAAACTTTAAAAATACACTCCTAAGGAACTCATAGGTTAAAGAGGAAATCAGTGCAATTTTAGAATAAACATTAGAAGTTATATATTACCATATTTGTGAAGTTAGAATGACAAACCGTGCGTGTGTGTGTGCATATACATATATATACATA